ATGACCACCATTACAGGTTCTACAACCCAATAGGATACAGTCTTCCAAATGCATTTTCTATAATTCGAATTTTTCATCGCTGGTGGGATTTGAACTCTAGTCCTGCTGCTTGGGGGTGCGACAACTTGCCAACTTCACTAAGTCACCACACCTTAAGATAAATGTATTAATATTCAAGAAAAACTTCAGAATAAATATAAAGAATTAAGTTATAACTTATGTATATCTCCATTAACACCAGAAGTATCGATTAATCTAATTAATCAAAATAAAGAGAATGATACATTTACTAATATGTGGGCTTCTGGTCAAAAAATAATTCAGGTTGAGAAAGATGAAGTTTCTCAATATATAAATCTTCCTGAGGCATTAGAAAATGATAATCCACTAGCTTGGTGGAATGATTATAAAAAAACTTTTTCAATTTTATCATCTTTGGCTTGTGACTATTTTGGTGTTTCTGCAATATCAGTTCTAAGTGAAAGACTCTTCTCTGATACAGGTGCTTATATTTCAGCTCGCTGAACTAAATTACGTCCAGATTTAATAAATTATATACTTTTTTTGAAAAGAAATATTGAACATGTTAATAATATTTACTCTCCTATTCTTGAATAGTAATTTATATATATATTATTAATTATATTAGGGTTAGGACCCTATAGCTTAGTGGTTTAAGCGCCTACCCCCCACAGCCGAGGTTTTTGGTTCAAGTTCTACTAGAAGCAGTTTCTAGAGTATTTAAATGCAAAACCCTGTGGAAGTCCAAGTGAAGTATGAATTTGGTTTAGAAATTTCTAGAAAGAGATCCTTTATTGAGAAAAAGAGCACTATGTGTAGCAGCGGCATTACAGAAAGTTTGATGACAGGAAGGTTGCACAAGTAAATCCTGCTGGCAGCAAGATAGCATCAACAACTCTAAGGCGGTCTTGGGATCTTGATTTGGGAGAGTAACACAACTGTAGTACAAACTAAAGTGGTGAGAAAAGTGGTAAATATAAAGGGATTTGTGGTAAAGAATTAGCCTAACTAAATAAGGAACACCTCTGGCAACCTATACTAATATGAAGTAGTTAATATAGAGAGGTGTTACAGAATATCTGTGTACGTGTAAAA